GGCCATGCGCTACTTCTTCGTCCGCCCCACGGCCCGCGGCGCCCAGACCTTCGACTGCCGCTCCACCCTCATCATCATCGTCGTCACCTTCATCGGCTCCGCTCTTCTCTTCATCCCCAACTGGCTGGTGACGGGGATCAAGCCTTGCTACCACAACCGGACAGGAAACGTCCACTGGCACCTCAAAACCCCCACTTTTGGTCAGGAGGACGGCGACTTCCTGCACACCCTCACCTTCTTCGTTTACCCGATCGCCGGAAAGATCATCCCCATCACTCTCATCTCGATTTTCGGCGGGCTTCTGCTTCACACGCTCAGAGACGCCGACCAACGCTCCAGGCGTCTGCGAGGAGGATCAGGCCACGGAGCCAACAACAATGGAGGAAACAACCAGACCAGGAGGACCACCATCATGCTCTTAGCTATCATCGCCTTATACATCATCTCCGAACTGCCGCAGTCCATCCTGCTCCTTCTCTGCATCTTCGTGAAGGAGTTCTTCCTCACCGTCTACACCAAGCTGGGGGACTTCGTGGACTTACTCTCCCTCATCAACAGTGCGATTAACTTCATCACGTACATCGCTATGAGCACGCAGTTCAGGAACACGCTCATCCAGATGAGTTGTGCGTGTTTGCACACCTCCACGTGCCACAAGTGCGGCAAGACCACTGCACTACAGAGCACCAAGTATTCCAAAGCCCCGCCCACTTCTGTCTGACGTCACTTCAAGTTCTTCGTTGGAAGATTTGATTTGTTGGAAAAGTGCCCACCTGACTGTCGTGTCGAGCTTGGGATGGAGAGAGAAAAAGCTGTGTCCAGCAGATGGTGTTGGAGTGGAGTGGAGTGTGTGGTGGTTTGGGTTGGGGGGTAGCCCTGCTGCGTGTGGAGTGTGATATGAAGTATATACGTGGATCTTAGGCTACGTTTCCTGTTTCAAAGCCACCCTGAGACATTGTAGACGAAAGTATCAGTGTGAAATACTGTGCGCCTATGGTCTCTGATTCTGTTGTTTTGTAAATTATGAGCCAAGCAATAACAGTGACCAACACCGTCTGAAAAAGGTAAAAGTACAGAACGTTGCACGCGAGGTATGCGACATGGTACCTGGAGGCTGATGGACTGTTTAGCAAAGTTGTCACGAAACTGTTGCACAAAGAGTTCTGTTCACTAGTAGTTATGTTTAGAACTACATACAAATCACACAAACAGTTCTGTTCACTACTACATTGAAAGTCACACAAGCAGTTCTGTTTACTACTACATACAGAGTCATACAAATAGTTCTGTTCACTACTACGTTCACTCCTACATATAGAGTCACGCAAACAGTTCTGTTCACTACTACGTTCACTCCTACACACAAGAGTCACGCAAACAGTTCTGTTCACTACTACATTCACTCCTACACACAGAGTCATACAAACAGTTTTGTTCACTACTACGTTCACTCCTACATACAGAGTCATACAAACAGTTCTGTTCACTACTACGTTCACTACTACATACAGAGTCATACAAATAGTTCTGTTCACTACTACGTTCACTCCTACATACAGAGTCACGCAAACAGTTCTGTTCACTACTACGTTCACTCCTACATACAGAGTCATACAAACAGTTCTGTTCACTACTACGTTCACTACTACATACAGAGTCACGCAAACAGTTTCGATCACAACTAGTTCTGCTCACTACTACATACACAGTCACATAAACAGCCCTCGCCGTGCAGAGAACAAGTCTAAGGGCAGCGTGTGTTGATTGAGGAGCACCATAGCAGAAGATTCCCACACGGGGTTGGAGTGTGGTGAAAAGACTGGAGAACGTTCGACATGGTCATCAGACACTGGGTTTCCCCGCACCGACAATGTACACCACGAACGACACCGATGGGTTCCGGCGTAAAATATGAAGGTTGAGCGCAAGTTGGGACTCGTAGTCGTAGGAGAACGAAATGTAAACCTTCGTCGACATGTCGTCATGTTGTTGAGAAAGACAATTCATTTCAATGGAATACATTTTCTAATAGTTTCATCCTCTAAAAAAAAAAGTTTAATTGTGTATTTAGTTTGGGAAAATTCAATTTTAAAAAGTATGGAGGTTACGAAAGAATGTAAGTGGCTAGTGCAGTTTTGATTTGGGGCCAGAAGAATCCGTTACTTATTTAATTAAAGCCTAAAAGGTAAGAGAACCGAGACACTCAAGACTTGGTCCTTGAGAGTGCTAGTTCTATTGTCTTCAGTTCTCAGTGTTGAGGTAGAATGTTTAGCAGAATCCTGAAAAACGTTTCTTTTCTCTTTTTTTTTCCTTTTTGGAACAGATGCTTTAATATGAAATTGTACTCACAATCATATTAATTTCTTTAGTGGATGTTCTTTAGAGTATGTTGATTTATTTTTTCTTCCTGTACTGGGTTGTGCCTGTGGGGTCGGAGCTAGGTTGTGGAACTTATCATAAATTTGACAGGGGAAAATAATGTTCGTCATTGTTGGATTGTTCCTGATCTACCAGCACACCCTTGGGAATCCAAAATGCAAAAGAAACGATTGGTTGGGGTGAAAAAAAAAGAAAAGTTAGAGGGGGTGGGTGGGAGATCGCAATAAATAAGAGGTCGTAATGAATTCACGGTTGCTAGGAATTGATTGGAAGAACTGCATTGTAATGAAGGAATCAGCGGTTGTGGAACAAGAACTGTCGTGGAATAGAACGACGGAAGGAGCAGGATGAGATTTTACTTACGCCTGGTTAGTCCTGTAGAACCGGCTCCTAGCCGTTATCGTGAGTGGTGATCACATGACACGTGTCACCGACCTCCAGGGTTCTGATATCTGCCCACGGGCTGGGAAAGACTTGGCGGTGACCTTTTTAGTGACCAGTGCTACAGCGATGACAACGACGACGACGACGAAGAAGAAGAAGAAGAAGAAGAAGAAGAAGAAGAAGAAGAAGAAGAAGAAAACAATCTTCAACAACAACAACAACAGGAACAACAAAACCATCAGGAAACATCAGTGTCAAATAAAAACGTTCGCACCAACACGTTGACGTGTGAATCTGGAAGGAAAAGAAAAAGATTCTCTGTACTTTTAGAGCAGAAGGAATGAGGAATGAAACGACATTCATTAAACGTTTTGAAATAAGGACATGATAAAAACCATTGTTGGACTATGGGGAGAAACCCATGACGCCATGGATGTCACCAGAACCTGTGAGTGACGTCACTGTCTATTAAAAGCAATGCCCGAATGTGATTGTACCAAACTGGTGATAGCTGTGAACATGTTTAATATGTCCATGGATGTGTATATGTCCCATGATGATAATTACTGCTTGCTATTGGCGTTCAACAATGTGTTATTGTACAGGAGCTCTGTGTACGTACCTTAGTGTTGTTGGTTGTTGTAGCGGTCAACAGTGAGTCGCTAGCTGTG